ACACTAGCTGCCCAATTTTCCAATACATATTGAATCCTTAGTCTTATAGACACCATCAAAGCGAACACTAGCTCTAGAAAGACACATCACAATACGATACAGGTAAAACTTTCTTATAATTAGATAATTCTAATCATTTTTTTTTCTATTAATACATAAAAATACTAACCAGTCCTATTCTTCTCTTTGTTTCGTGCAATTTTTTTTTTTTTCTTATTCATTTCTATTCTAATTAAAATTATCACCCCAATTCATAATGGCTACCTCTTTATCATACGAATTTTTTTTAATTGACCTAACTATGGTTAACTTACACGAACTTGGAAAAGTGCTCATCGGAGGAGCAATAACTAATATATTCCAAGGACCATGTAATATTTACAAATTGAAAGGTAAACCGCAGCTTTTAACATTACAAATAAATTCACTAAAACATAACAGATTACATTTATGCATAAAAAAAATTCGAGAAAATATACCGAGACCACACCACATAATTCAGCAATTAAAAAGAAATATAAAAACTAAATATAACACATTAAATCAACCAACAGTCATGGCTTACACATCTAATTTAAATAATTCTTGGCCTGTAGTTATTGTATGGAACTGCAGTAAAACACTAGAAACTTCCATAGACTATCTTAACCCTCTTTTCAACATAATAAATTTCAAAGCATATGACAGTTTTAACAATGGTAATTATCAGTTAATTCTAGAAACCTACTCAACGCAAAAAGTTACCATACTAGCAATAATGCAATTCCGTAGACTCCACAATGATGAGCGTGAGCTCTCTCTACAAGATACACATTCATCATTGTGTAATGAAACACATGAAGGGAGAAATCTATTTCCAACAAATAATATAGCATTAATGAAATGTTTAATACACAAACTTTTAGATAACTCCGGGTATAACAATTTCTTAAATCTATACAATAGCTCAACTGAATACAGTTCCTCAAATATGTCTGATTAAAATATTTCAATTGACACGAAACACTAGTTTAAGTATGGTGATTAGTTTGACTTTGTCACGTATAAAAAAATATACACACTCCTTAAGTATTATTTAATGAAAACCATTTAAAAATTAAGATTTCTTTTAAAATATATCTTAGAACTAAATATAATTTTAGACTACATATTTTAAGTTTTAAACTTTAGAATCATAATTTAAAAAAAAAAAAAAAAAGTATATATATTTCTATATAATTAAATTTATTTTTTTTTTTTTTAAGAATATTCCTATTAATTTAGTTGAATATTTTCACATTATAAGTTTTAATCTTAATATACCTAATTTGTCTAAACAATAACCTTTTTCTAGCAATAAGCTAGAATAACTTTATTCATAAGCTTTAAATTTAATTAAAACTAGACTTAAGATCAACTACTAATAAACTAAATGATTATATTATATGACTTTGTATTATCAAGTTGAAATAAAATATGATTATAAAACATATTGTTTAAATAATAATTCTAACAAAATTGTATTCTTATTAATTTAAGTTAATTATAACATTAATTTTAATGGCACGGTAATCATACAACTATTATTATTTTTCTTTTTATTANAAAAAAAAAAAAAAAAAAAAAAAACACATCATAGTAAAATTAATACCTTCTCCGCTTCGCATCGAAGCTAAAATGTAAAATTTTATTTTTAATTTTTAAATATAATTAAAACTTTACAATTTATTAAGACTTCAATCAAATATCATTATATGAATTATCCATTTTATGAACGTTTTGCTGCATATCATATACAGTACTCAATATTTAATAATAAATCGCAGAATAATTCCTCACCTTCATATTAACTATAGAAAACACCCAACTACTCAATGAAGAGAAATCAACAAATTTACACGTTTTAATTAATCACAAGCAACACACAACTCAACTCCAACTAAAATTTTGGTTACATACAACGCCAAAGGGTACCAATCACACATCAAAGAGTTGAATGAATCCTACTAATCTTTCACAAAATATTACACATACAACATACCGCAGAATCATGCCACGTGTTTAAAGAAATTTTATTGCTGTAATCTCAAAAAAAAAAAAAAAAGGGAGGATACAAAAAATACATTACATAAGTAGACTATTCATATAGANATATAAAAAAAAAAAAAAAAAAGGGAGGATACAAAAAATACATTACATAAGTATACTATTCATATAGAATACTGTATTTTGATATTAATGCAACATGTCATTGTTTAGAAAAGTATTAATAATGAATATATATTTTCATGGGCAAGTCACTAAAATTGAACAGTAGTTAAGTTTCCACTAGTCGTGTAAGAAAAATTGATGAAATTTTGCCCAATGACAATCTACATTTAGTTGGGCAAGGTTATTGTTTATGATTATTGTATCAATCTATTTTCATATGTACTGAGTATTTTAGATCATTTGTCTTAAAAAAATTAAGATATACTAGTAAAAATATCAATAGATATCATAGTGTTTCAATATTTCAAAATTGTTGTAAAAAATACAGTATTACTTTATCAGGTATATAAATATGACACGTGTAGTACAAAGAAAAAAAAACCCAGCACAGGGGGGTCGCGGCACAGTTGTGACGTGGTATAGTTGGATCAAGTATAATGATATCTGACAGTGATTAAAATCACTATCAAAAATAAACGCTTCGATGCAAATCTTTAGATAGTG